ACGGTGGATCTCCCCACCCCGAGCTTCTGGGCCACCGAGCGGTAGCTGTCCGGTGTGGCCAGCTTCCAGAGTGCGATGGCGACCCTCTTTGTGGCGGGGAGGGGGGCCCGCAGCCGGGTGGTGGCTCTCTGGAGCGCAGGGGCGAGCCAGGCACACAGCTCCAAGAACATCCGCTTTCGCATGCGGAAGTTCCGGAGCCATTGCTGGTTGTCCCATTGCCCCAGGACCAGCCGGTCCCACCAGTCCGTACTGGTGTCCAGTCTCCACAGTGGCCTCTCCACCCTGGTGTGGGGATGCCACAGGGACGCCATGGCCTCCCTGGTGAGGGAGTCCAAAGCGGTCTGCACCTTCTGGTCCTGGAACAGGAGGGCACCAGCCTGGAGCACCAGCTGCAGGCACTCCAAAATGTCCGGCCGGGCCAGAGCAGGCACATGGCCACCCCTGGCTCCATGGCAGACAAAACAAGGCAAGAGGAAAAAAAAAAACAGGCAAAAGCACTAGGTGGCAAAAGGCAGTGGTGTCCAAAAGTCAGAGGGCAACCACGAAAACTGCTACGGCTGTCAGTCCCTACAAGAGGTACTAAAGCACGGAGCACGAGAGAAACAGCATGTGTCTCAAAGGAACTCCAGCCCCCGCCCCTGGAAAGGGCTGGTGCCCTTTTGCCCTCTGCAAAATGGTTCCGGGCTTCTGCTTTTGCGCAAAAGCACGCTACTAATGTAGCAAAAGCGCATCGTTATAACGATAATTCTATGCCAATCTAGACACGCTTTTGCAGAAATACTTTTAACGGAAAAACTTTTCCATTAAAAGTATTTGCGCAAAATAATGCCAGTCTAGACGCAGTCGTTCTGTTTATCTTTCTTTGATGTATGTAGCGCGTGTGTGTGTGTGTGTGTGTGTGTGTGTGTGTGTGTAAAATTAGACATATGGAGTGGGGAATACTTTGTGGATTTCAGTGTGTGAATGAGAGACATATGGAGGGTGTTACCCAACTGTTAATCACATGTTAATCATGTGAGCAGAGTTGGCTCCGGGGCTGATTGCTGGGCTGAGTTCCTGGATGTTTATGATATAGTTATGTAGTTTGGTTACCAGAAATAATTCGTTTCAGGTTGGGGGGGTTGTCTGTAAGCGAGAATAGGTCTTTCCCCCAAGGCGTCTGAGAGTGAGGGATCATTTTCCAAGATAGGTTATAGATTGTGGACAATGCATTGGAGGGGTTTGAGTTGTGGACTGTAGGTAATGGTAAGCAGAATTCTGTTATTTTCTCTTTGGGGTCCATCTTGAAGTAGTTCATGTCTGCATTTCTTTCTGCATTTGCCCCTTCCATGGAAAATTACCTGGTCAGACCCTGCTGCTTGACAGTGGTTTGAAAACATCGCTGAATCATCAAGACTATATGGATATTGGAATGAAAAGAAAGGAATCATGAGAAGTTTGCAGTTTGCCCTATCTACCTTATTCCTATTTCCTTGTCATAGGTAACCCATAATATGTGATGAAAAAATGTACAGAATGCCCACAGCACAGTGGTGAAGCATTGAATGTCTGCCAGGAATGCTAAACGCTTATTTCAAAACGTTGTGCTATGGAGCCACGATGATATGAGGCAAAAGTGCCTTACTTGAGTGAATGTGATGTGTATGTACTGCTCACACAACAATCGAGAAGGCACTAAAGAAAACCAACGGCAACTTTCAAATATAGGCGCTTTCTTAGAAAATTGGTTGTAGAACAGAGAGTAGACAAGATGAAGTTCTACAGAAACCTCTAACACTCCCAGTATTACAATACAGTACCATATAATATCTGAAAGAACAAGGGCTAATGAGAAAGAGACCTTTAAAAAAGGGAAATGAATTGCTCAGAATAGCACAATCAACATTCATATAAAAGCCTGTATGGAAAAGAACCGTCCTAGAGTCCTATTCAGTTGCCACTGAAAAGAAATGCGTCTGGAGAATAGAGGAGCTAGTGAGAGCAGCATGCAGCTGCTGTTACAAAATAGACTCTGGCTTCTTGCAATGATCTTATCATATGGCTATTAAGCAGTATGGCTTTTACACTGCTTCTAGCAAACTTAGAGAAATGGCCTTTCAACCAGTCAGTCACCCATAGTCTCAGAGTTTCTCTTTCACATCTTACAAATATATTGACAACTTAAATGTATTCATTTTCTTCCTTTCCAAAGGTCTATGTAATATTACTCTTCCAAAGCGTATGGCAATGTACAATGCTGTTCAGCGTATAAAAGAAATGGAGGCCAACACATTTTCCATGTTAAAACTTGACAGATTTTTAGCTGATGCAAATTGGACTATGACTGAAGAAGCAATTAAAATTGATTATCCTTATAAAGTGAGTAATTTATCTGTTTTATCTGTATTCTATTTCTTGCAAAGAACATTATGTAAGAGGCAAAACTCATGCTTGAAATAAAGGAATGATTCACAGCTTTTGATTTACACTGGTATCCATTGGAAGAAGGGTAGACTCTTCAGTATTAGTTTTACAGGCTAATAGAGAATTGTAATGACAAATGAGGTTTCCAGTGTGATGGAAATAGCTGATATGCTATTAATATTATGGGACTTTTATCAAAGGGAAAAATTAATATACCAAAAAATTAGGGGCTAGCTATCCTGAATAGGATACCCTGATATCTTTGAGGTCTGTTTCGGTGAAAAGAGGGCTTGTGGAAATAGTTGAGGTATATAAGAATAATTGATAATTAATACAATACTTGGTCCTCAGTTACTTTTTAAGAAAAATGTTCCTATAAAACTTGAACTTGAATATGTTTCTGAAATACATTTATTAACTCTTCTGACAATGTTAGTAATAAGTAATGTGCATCTGAAAGTGGCCAGTACTTTTGTTTCACATGACTTGTTGGTGTCTTGGGTATAGCTGGGATTTACCTGTTCTGTGTATTTAGAGTTTAGATGTAATAGGAATGAATAAGTGAGCTAATGTTTAGATTTGGGATTTTTGTAGTGTTTGGGAAGACATTGGGATCTTCATATCCTAATATTGCCCCAGGCTCCATGCGGCACTGCTGCTTTGAATCATTCTCTTCTTTTTCTCCCCTCCTCCCCCTCCTCCCCGCTGCCTCTTTCTGATATAGGCAGCGAGGGGAGGGCACAACTAGTCATTCACATCCCTAGTGATAGGCCCCCTCTTGCTCCTAAATCCCCCTGCCACTTCTTCACTGGTCTGAGACACTCTACCTTTCTAGAGAACCTGGGCGCGGTACTGTATAATCTTGGGTCCCTGTTGCATACAGACTTTAAAGGTATAAAAATGTAAAACATTATTTTTGCTTGTCTTCCGGATCAGTAAATCTTCATAATTCATTTGCATAGAAATCAATATCTGAATATTAAATTCTGAAACAGGTATATCTTCATTACAAAAGTGCATACATACAATAAAGCAATATAGAGAAAAGCTAAGAATATGTTCTATTGTATTTTGTCATTTGACTGAAAATTGTAGCTTATTCTTTACTGTAAGTAGAAATAAAACATCTCAAACTTCATATTATTAAGAATAATTAAATACTAACAGCATTAGTACAAGTATTTGAATAATAACTATACATGCACCCACATTTGTCTTCTCAGTCCTACATGAGAGAAGTTGTTCAGATCATTATTTGGATTGTATTGGGGCTAGGATTCAGGCTATGATTAAATTAGTCTGTAGCACTCTTGTGACCTGTTAATTAGTTCACATTTGTTTTAACTCTGTATCAGCATTTGACTAACCATCCAGTTGGTCACTAACCAGAAAATATATGACCTTCCAGTGCTCAAAGAGCATCTATAGTACAATCTATCAAGCTTTTGAAAATTGAGCATCCTCTTCAGAAAATTTAAATTGTATTCTTTTATCCTTCACACATGGTGTTCAAGGTATATCCAAATGAGCAGTCGCTCAGAGCATATTGTATAAATCTTCATAATATGATACTTTCTCATCGTTGTTTCCAACATTTGTTAACATTTATACACTTTAAGAAAACCACAACAATGTCCTAAGTTTTTTTTCTAATAACTTTACTTGTAAATAGTTTATCAGAATTGATTCATAGGAGTATAAATAGGCTTTTTGTGAGTATAAATAAGCTTCTATCTGTATCTAATGCCACATATAGATTAAATTTGCATTTTAATTAGAATGTTTTATTTTATATTAGCCTTTGTTTTTTAAACATAGTTCTCTTAGCTTTTTGATTTTCATGCTTGGAGTATGTTGTGGTAAGTTCTCTTTTTTTTTTCTGTTTTTCTTATTTAGTTTGACATAGAGGAAGTTTCCCAAATTGTTAGAACACTTAAATGTCCAGATTGTAACAAAGAAATTTCATACGAGACAACACCTCAACAAATTGCTGACATACTAGAAGAAGCCAGGTTACGTCTTTTAACAGCGCAAATAGTAAGTATTCATTCTATTTGGTTCTATTCTTATTTTTCTGGATTAACACATATATTTTAATGTGACTATTATTATTTAAGAAATAGGTGTCCAAATGTGAACTGTGGACCACTTTGTGCCTCAAGTCTTCAGATTGTGGCCCTCAAGAATGACAGTTCTAGGAAGAAATGTTATTTTTGACTATATACTGAAAATGTATACCCTCAGCTATGTGGTGTGACTTTTAAACTGAAGCATTTGAATCAGTCCTATTTACTATAAGGATGAAATAGATAGGACCTCCTTCACAGTTCTCTCCCACTCTTGTTCCTGGAGTCTCAGCAGCAGCCTTGGTGGGCCTAGTATGCTCTTACCAGCATCTTTGTCCCTTCCTCATTGCTGCTCTCCCACTGATCCTCTGCTGAATCCTAGGGAAGGGATTAGAGAATAATTCTGCATTGTGCATTAATTTCTTTCTTGCCAGGCTGAGTTTCCAATTATACAGCCTTCCTCATCAATTATGACCATGCTAATTACACAAGACTGCAAGAACTCATTAATGATCTCCCTGAATGAAAAAGCTCCAGTCAATCATGAAAGAGGGCCGGACTGCATTCTGAGTGTCAAAGTACTTAGCGGACCCAGCAGCCAGAGCGACAGCCATGGCTATTGTCATGCGCTGTACCTCATAGCTTGTCATTTGGCATTCCACACAAACTCCATGTGAAAGTTTAAGACCTTTCTGACGATAGGAACCAATTGTTTATAACCAAAACAGACCCGGTCCTTCATTCAATGAAGGATTCTTATACAATCCTCCGGATGCTGGGTATGTCTGTCCCACCTAATAAGAGGAGACGGTATACACTTTACCAAAGATCTTGAGACAGCTCCTTCTACAGAAGTCAACAAAAACCATTTGAGCGAAGGTCTAAACGATGACCCAACAGGAGAGCTCAACATACTTGATCCACAGCACCTCAACGAGCAACATTGAAACAGCAGTTTTGAAGGTGTGCTTGAGGGTTTGAGTAACCTCCCTCTGGAACCACCTCCCTTCCCTGTCCCTCTTTAAGGACCCCTCTCATGAGTACCTACTACAAGCAGAAGTAGAAAAGCTAGTTACCTTTGGGGCCATGGATCTGGTTTCTTCAGAATTCCATGGGAGAGGTTTCTACTCAAATTATTTCCTTACATTGAAAACATCATCATCAACCATAAATTTAGGATGGTGATGTTAGGAATGAACATACCCATGCTGGATGAGTGGGACTGGTTCTCAGCCCTCAACCTTCAGGACTCCTATATATCCATTCACTCTTCCTCCAGAAGGTTTCTCAGATACCCTGGCTACCCTTCCAACTTAACAGCGCCACATGTGTTTTCCAAAGCTGGCTGTAGTGAACTTGTTTCTCAGACGTCAGGGGGTCATCATATTCTGCTACCTACACGATTGTCTAATCAAAGGTACTTTGCAACAACAAGCCTAACCATGTTGAACTCCACTCGGGAGGTCTTTTCCCATTTGGGCCTCCTAATAAACATACAAAAATTTACTTTGGAACCTACCCAGAAAATAGAATTCATCAGAGCACCATTAGATAGTCAAAGCCAGGGCGATCCTCCCTGTCCATTGCATTATGCAATCTCATAAATATGGTGCTACATGCCCCCTTTTCCAACGTTTGGATGTTTCTTCCATTTTGGGGACACATGATAGCCAGCACATACGTGGTACACCTTGCAAGGCTCCACATATGCTGCTTAAAAGCATGGTTGGCATAAGTCTACGACCCAACAGCCTAGGAAAGTGAGTTATCTTTCCACTGGTGGCACTCACCTCACTACAGTGGTGAATATATCCACACATTCTCCTTGAGGGGCTACCTTTCCACCAACCAGATTCTTTCCACATAATAACTACAGACATATCCCTCATGGGATGGGGTGCCCACTGCAGTCACCGAACAATCCAGAGCAGGTGGTGTCAGCCGACGGTCAGGGCAGTAAGTCCCTTATGACCAGCTGAAGTTCTTTTAAATTGTGCTTGGTTCTGTTACAGCAACTGAAGGAGTCAGGTTAAAGCTTAAACAGTTACTATTTTATTGTTACAGGGTAAACTTAGTTGTTAAATGCTACTACTGTGTTAAAGATAACACAGACACTACAAAGGACAGAACAGAAATTACACTAAGAAGTCACTTACAGGTACCATGAAACCCTTTGGTTCTCTGAGCTCTTATTAAATGCATGCAAAATAGACACATAGCAGGTATATATTCTCACCCCTGCGTTCCAGACTTGGCGTGGCCAGCGTCTTTCTCTCAATCCCTCGGGAAGAAGTAGGGCGAGGTTGGGCGTCCCACAGACCTCGGGAAACAATCAGTACCTGCCAGCAGGTATAGATGATTGGAGCTCCAATGGGGTGGGCTGCTGAACCCCTCTTTATACCCCTTGGGTCACGTAGGCTTCTTCCTGGTCTCAAGTGGCCAATTAGGAAAAATGGCTTTGAACACCAAGTTTCCCACGAAGGGTGCAAAGCATAATTCACACCTGGGAAAATGCAGACAAGGGGCACCTCTGGTATATGATGGGTGAAGATTCCTCTTCTGGGACAGTGCAGGCATGTCAATTACTGGTACTAGTCATCAGGACGGCGGGAGGCCCCGGGTCGTCAGCTAGCCCATTTACTGTCTGGTTTCTGTTTATGGTAGAGTCAGGGACAGGCAGCACACCTGCGTTCCCAGGGCATCAAAGGCTGACTGCCTTTCTCTTGCTCTCTGGGGGGGGGGGAAAACAAGATGGGGTGGTTGGTCTGTGGGGGGGGGGGGGAACAAGATGGGGTTTGTGGAAAAACAAGATGGGGTTTGTGTCTGGCTACAGGTGGTCATGTTGAGAAGCATGGCTATACATCAGCATACTGGAACTGAGAGTTGTTTGCTACACCTGTCTATGCCTTCTGATATTCTGTGGTCACACCATACACGTCCTCATGGACAGCACCACCACGTATGTTTTACATTGACCATCGGGGAATTGCCCAATCATGGTCGTTATGCGCCACGTGATCAGGTTTTGGAATTGGTGCAAGAGAAATGACATTGCACTGACAACAATGTACCTACCAGGCCAACAGAACATCATGGCAGATACCCCGACCAGACACTTTTTGGAATAGCAAGAATGGGAGCCCATGATCCTTCATCACATATTCCAACAGTGGGGATTCCCATGAATAGATTTTTTTGCATCTAGATCCAACCACAATATCCATTTCTTTTCCAGGGCAGGTTAGGGCAAGGATTCCTGGGGAAATGCCTTTACTTTACCATGGCAGCTCCACTTTTGTACACGTTCCCACAGTGGGATGACACAAGTGCAATGGTCATTCTGATTGCCCCATTGTTGCCGATAAGAGTTAGTCTCAGGTCTGACACTGGGTTCTCAAAGTACCAAAGCATGCTGCACAGGTATTTGTCAAACACAAGCAGTTTATTTTCTGACAGGTATCAGCTGCCCCTGTTAACTAAAAAAAAACATGATAGCAAAAGCAGCATCTTATATCTCTTTTGCAAGCTGGGGACCCCGTTTCAGCTGCAAATGAAGCGGGAGATCATCTAGGCTTCCAAGGTGCCGGTACCAAAGCCCATCAGTGAGGTCCAATATGCCGTACTGTTATGCAGCTTATATCCAGGTTTTTACCCTGTTTTGCAGTTTGGAAGTTTCTGGGGGTTATTCGTTACAGTATGGCTCAGGTGTACTGCTTGTCCTTTGACTTTGTTTACATGATCAGTACTTCTGGGTAAACAGGATTGTTATGTTCCGCCCTTATCTACAATTCGTTCTTGCTACAATGGCTTATATTCCTAGAGACTTTCTTCTGGCTCATCAGTTGCAGGGAAGGGGAGGTGGGGAGAATGCAGGCCTCACCACCCCTATGCTTCACACTTACAGAGTTCTTCTACAGTTAACCCCTATGCTCATCCTGGCGCGGACAGCCATAGTTTTTGTATCTCTAGCACCTTCGATCAGCGAACTGATTCCCCTCCTGATCATCCCCAACCTCCTGACCCAACATCACAGGTGAGTTTACCACCCCCAACCTTTGAGCACTCAGCTCACCGCTTGGCTTCTCTATGGTTCCAAAACAAAGAACTTACCTGTTCTGAGAGGGTGAAGTGAGTTCTCCTGAATAGTCATTGTCCCTCGATGAGATATAAATGATGGCGATCTGGTACAACAGTGCTTCCAATCGCTGGAAATCCTAATCAATGAGAGCAAGTCAGTCCTTACTCCAAGTCCGTCGATACAATTCATTCGGATGCACCTCAACTCTGCTTCAGCCATTGCCTCTCTTCCTTCTGCATAATGCCATGCATCACAGCCTACAACTGTTTACAACTTCTGGGACACATGGCGTCTTGCAGCCCCCTGGTCCCCAATGCCGTCTATTTATGAGGTGCCTCCAAGGATGGCTCAGATCGAATTACAAACCCAACCTACACTCCCTGAGCAAAACACTGTCAGTCCCCGACACCGTAAAAAGATCAATACTGTGGTGAACTAAACTATACTATTTATGCAGGGGCATACCCTTTCAAACTCCAGAACCCATAGTGGTTATCATCATGGACGCTTCCCTCACGAGCTGGGGAGCACACATGAGAGACCTTACAGCCCAGGGCCTATGGATTCCGGCAGAGAGGATGCTACATATTGATGTTGTCGAGCTCAGGGCCGTCTGGCTCACATGCCAATATTTTCTACCCCTCATCTCCGGAACACACATCAAAATATACCAACAATATGGCCTGTATGTTTTATATAAGCAGACAAGATGGGGCACGATCCTACGCTCTATGCAAGGAAGCCATGGCACTCTGGAACTGGTGCCTCACTCATGGCATGTCCGTAAGTGTGTACCATCTCCCTGGTGCCCTAAACACCACCCTGGATGCCCTAAGCAGAGCCCTATCTCAAGATCAGATGAGTGTCAGATTGACTGTTCAGTTCTGACAAAT